CTCGTCACACTGCGATTGCTGAGGAGGTGCTGCACCAGGCCCTTCAGTTCGGCAAGAATGACGCCAGTTTGGATAATATTTTGCTCAACTTCGAGTCTAAGCTTTGTGGGTCGGAAGATTATACGTTTCTGCTTCGGGAACTTGGGAATAGAGGTGAATGTTGGAAAGCAATTCGATGCTTTGATTTTGCTCTTGTTAGAGAGGGAAGGAAGAATGAGCGAGGTAAATTGGCTAGTGCGATGATCAGTACGCTTGGTAGGCTTGGTAAAGTGGAACTTGCTAAAGGGGTTTTCGAGACAGCATTGAGTGAAGGGTATGGGAACACTGTTTTCGCATTCTCAGCTTTGATAAGTGCTTATGGAAAGAGTGGTTACTTCGACCAGGCTATTAAGGTGTTTGAGTCCATGAAAGATTCAGGATTGAAGCCAAATTTGGTTACTTATAATGCAGTGATTGATGCATGTGGAAAAGGAGTAGTTGAGTTTGGGAGAGTGGTGGAGATTTTTGAAGAAATGTTGAGGAATGGGGTCCAACCTGATAGAATTACCTATAACTCATTTCTTGCTGTGTGTAGTCGAGGAGGGTTGTGGGAGGCCGCTCGGAGCTTGTTTAGTGAGATGACAGATAGAGGGATTGATCAGGATATATTTACTTATAATACACTTTTAGATGCAGTTTGCAAAGGTGGGCAGATGGATTTGGCTCATGAGATTATGTTAGAGATGCCTTCGAAGAAAATATCGCCTAATGTGGTTACTTACAGTACAATGGCTGATGGGTATGCTAAGGCTGGTAGATTAGAAGATGCACTAAACTTATACAATGAAATGAAGCTTCTGGGCATTGGTTTAGATAGGGTTTCGTACAATACATTGGTTTCGATCTATGCCAAGCTTGGAAGGTTTGAAGATGCTCTGAATGTTTGCAGAGAGATGGGGAGCTCTGGAGTTAAAAAGGATGTTGTTACTTACAATGCCCTTCTAGATGGATATGGAAAACAGGGGAAGTTTACTGAAGTTACCAGAGTATTTAAGGAGATGAAAAGAGACCGTGTATATCCGAATTTGTTGACGTATTCTACCTTAATTGATGTATACTCTAAAGGTAGTCTATATGAGGAGGCAATGGAGGTCTTTCGTGAGTTCAAACGGGCTGGACTGAAGGCTGATGTAGTTCTCTATAGTGAACTCATCAATGCTTTATGTAAAAACGGTTTAGTGGATTCTGCTGTATCGTTGCTTGACGAGATGATAAAAGAGGGGATTAGGCCTAATGTTGTCACTTACAATTCCATAATTGATGCCTTTGGTCGTTCTACAACAGCCGAATCTCTAGTTGGTGCATCTAGTGACAGGCAAAGTGAATCCCCATCGTTCATGTTGATCGAGGGTGTGGATGAGAGGGAGACGGAGAACTGGGATGATGACCATGCCTTCAAATTTTATCAGCAGCTTGTTTCTGAGAAAGAAGGGCCTGCAAAGAAAGAAAGACTAGGGAAGGAGGAGATCGGGTCCATCTTGAATGTCTTCAAGAAGATGCATGAGCTGCAAATAAAGCCAAATGTTGTAACCTTTTCAGCAATTCTAAATGCATGCAGGTAAAAGTCTTTGACCAGCATTTTCCCTCAACATTTTGCTATCTTTACTTATTTTCTACCAAATCAAGTTATTTTAGCCATGCTTTTTTTAATCAATAGCCGCCGCGAACTTATAAAACTAGCATTTTGACCTGTTATTAGGATGCAAGATGAAAATTTTCCACATAAACAAGTTCTATGAAGATTGGAGATTTAGGGAAGACTATCCGTGCATATAGTCCTTTTCTTCTATTGTCCGTTATAATTATCTCTTAGAACGTGACGTGCATTTAATTTTGTATATCGTTCTGGTATATTTAGATGGCCTTGACAAGGTTGCCCTACGAGTCAAATATTTAGTATAAATAATCCTCTGTCGTATTTTATCTCATTCGCAAGTCAAATATACCACAAATCACATTGGGCAATAGTTGGTGACCTCCTTTTGTCTCATTTTTTTATAACCCTTCTCTTGAACAAGGGCCATCGAGCCAGAGCCTCACGTCAACAATCTTTCTACCTGGTATCGTTTTGCACTTCAAAGCCTCTTTGTATAACTCTCTCATTTCAAAGCCTCTTTTGTTAGTCTTTGTGGTTGCTTGCTTTGGTCTTATTCCTTATTATTCACTACAATCTCAAGGTGAATTTTGATCCTAATTGTGGAATTTGAGTTTTGGGTGCAGCCGCTGCAAATCAATTGAAGATGCTTCAATGTTATTGGAAGAGCTTCGGTTATTTGATAATCAAGTCTATGGTGTAGCTCATGGACTCCTGATGGGCTTTAGTGAAAATGTGTGGATCCAAGCACAGTATCTGTTTGATGAAGTGAAGCGGATGGACTCTTCCACTGCATCTGCTTTCTACAATGCTTTGACAGACATGCTGTGGCATTTTGGTCAGGTGATGTCTAGGAAATTTCAAGCTGTTCACTCCCATTCTCATATCCCACTTCTTTGATATACTAATACTGGTTTTGATATTTGAAAATTTTATCTTCTCTATAGAAACGAGGGGCACAATTGGTCGTACTTGAAGGAAAAAGACGCAACGTATGGGAAACTTTATGGTCCGATTCTTGCTTAGATTTGCACCTCATGTCTTCTGGAGCTGCTCGTGCCATGGTTCATGCTTGGTTGCTGGGTATTCATTCTGTTGTGTTTAATGGTCATCAGTTGCCAAAATTATTAAGGTACGTTCATTCCCTCATTCGCTCTTACTAATAATTCGTTATGCATGTTATTAGATATCGCTACTTTTCATATTACTTTTAGTCGTTCGTTCGATCTCTTAGTTATTATTAATTAATTGTGTTAGCTTTCTTCGTTACTCGGGTATTGACTTGTGTCTTCATGGACTTGTTTGTACCTAATGCTGTTTATACCTTTATTAAATGACTAAAGGCTTGTTTTATTCACCAAGGCGTAATGTGGTATCTTCGCTTCGATGGCATGTCAACGAGTGGCCAATTGGCATGAAGGGAAGTAGGACTGTATTTCAAGGAGCATAAAATTAAAACGAAAAAAAGCAAAACAATAACACGTCCAATTTCCTATAGCGATTTGGGACAGATTCCTAGAGTCTTTTTGTAACGGCTCAAGCCCACTGCTATATGATATTGTCCTCTTTGGGCTTTCCCACAATGTTTTTAAAACGTGTATGCTAGGGAGAGATTTCCACACCCTTATAAAAGATGCTTCGTTCTCGTTCTCCTCTCCAACCGATGTAGGATCTCACGATTTTGATATTCAGATGGCTTACGACAAGTCGTACAAGGCTATGATAGAGGGGGTGATAGCACCCCCTTATGTGATAGAGGGGCGTTTCTTTGGCGGGCAACATTCTTTGCGTCGTCTTAGGATCTTTGGTTAGAGATAAATAGTAGATTGGTAAAGTCCTTCAGAGGAGGTTTGGGACCTGGTTCTGTATCAATGCCTCTTTCTAGATCTGGTTTCCCTTTGTTTGTGTAGTCTTTTTTGTTTTTCTCTCTAGTATTCTTTCATTCGTTCTCAATAAATATCGTTCTTTTCGAGCAAATTTCTTACGTTTTAGTCATCGTGCCAGCATTCTGACTGGATGGGGAAAACACAGCAAAGTTGTCGGGGACGGAGCTCTGAGACGGGCAATCAAGGCACTTCTAGCTAGCATGGGGGCGCCATTTTGGGTTGCTAAATGTAATATAGGTAGGTATGTATCAACAGGCTCTGTGGTGGCTGCCTGGTTGAAAGAGTCAGGTACCTTAAAATTGCTTGTTCTTCATGATGATAGAACTCACCCAGATAGTGAAAATGTGGATTTAATTTCCGAACTGCAAATGGTTTCCTTGTAGCAGAATTTGTATAATATTATCTCACACATCAGAGTTATGAGAAAATTTGGCTCAGAGAAAGGTTTACTAAACATTAGAACAATGCCTCTCTTATCTTCGATCTTACTCGAAAAATATATTTGGTATCTTTTTCTTTCGAGGATAAGTTTTGCCCATATGCTTATCATATCCATTCACCATCGAATCATTACTTCGAACAACATACTATCTAAGATTTAAGATGCACCATAGTGACTCAGACAAGGACGTCTCTAAACGACATGCTTTGATCCCTTAGAGGCATCACCACAACTATTGTTCTATTATAGAGGGTATTGTACTCAATCGATAAAATCCTTTCCCGTCATTATTATACTTCCACGAGTCTTCAGCGTATATCTCGAATCTCTTTCATCAAAACATCTCTATCAAAATTCTTCTATGACAAGATAGACCAATATAGTTTATCCCCTTCATAAAATACCATCTCTAAAAGTTTATCTCAAAATACTTCAATCGATCTATGTGGTTCGGGATTTAGAATCCTCACCATTAGAATGGTTAAGAATAAGAATTTGTGTATAGGTTTCCAAATTCTGGAAGAAACTTAAAAAGTGAAAGAGATAGAATAAAACAAAAGCAAGTGAATATAGAAAGGAGATGCTAATTAAAGAGAAATTCTTGCATACATTTTGAGGAAGAAAACAAAGCCGAAGTATCAATCAATAGATCACTCATTGCTTTGAATATTGAAGCCAATGCCTCTTTGGCCCTCTTGACAACCGAGGAGTTGCCTCTCCATCGTATTTCCAAACACAAACCGACCACTTCATCATTTGGTATCAGAGAATTATAATTATAAATAAACGATCTTAACAAGATTTATGGGTCCAATATCAACTTCTACCGACGAACATAACTAACTAAACTAACTCCTTGTCTAATTTAATTACATTCCTGCAGGTGGCATCCATCACTCTTCTTCCAAATCTTCCAACCCTTTTAGTTTTGTATTATCATTCGCCTTCTTCACTCCTCCCTATAAATCCTTTCCATGCTTTCCATGCATTCTCTATACAATCCTTCTTCTCATTCCAAGCTCTCTGTTAAGCATCTCCCATGGCACCTCCAAATGACACAGCCACCTTAAACTCCTCTGTTCTGAAATCCGACAGCTTGGAGAACCTTATTGATGTTTCAGATGGGAAGCTCAATGTCAAAGGCGTTCCATTGCTGTCGGATGTCCCAACCAATGTGTTTTTCAGCCCCTTCTCTTCCCTATGCCAATCCTCCGATGCCCCACTTCCTCTGCTCCAACGAGTGCATACTCTGTCCCATAAGGGCGGATTTCTTGGCTTTCATCAATCGCACCCTTCTGATAGGCTGACCAATTCCTTGGGGAAATTCAAGGGTAGGGAGTTTTTGAGTGTCTTCCGGTTCAAAACATGGTGGTCGACCATGTGGGTTGGGAATTCTGGTTCTGATTTACAAATGGAAACTCAATGGGTCATCTTAAATGTCCCTGAGATAAACTCATATGTCGTTATCATTCCCATTATCGAAGGCAGTTTCAGATCTGCCCTTCATCCTGGAACTGATGGACAAGTTTTGATTTGTGCTGAAAGTGGCTCAACTCATGTGAAAGCATCGAGTTTTGATGCTATAGCCTACGTTCATGTGTCTGATAATCCTTACAAGTTGATGAAAGAGGCTTATGCTGCCACTAGAGTCCATTTAAATACTTTTAGACTCTTGGAAGAGAAGCCTGTCACACATCTGGTGGACAAATTCGGTTGGTGCACCTGGGATGCTTTTTACTTAACAGTTGACCCTGTTGGAATTTGGAATGGTGTAAATGATTTTGTTGAAGGCAGCATCTCGCCAAGGTTTCTCATCATTGACGATGGGTGGCAAAGCATCAACAAGGATGGCGAAGACCCGTCTCGCGATGCAAAAAACCTTGTTCTGGGTGGGACTCAAATGACTTCCCGACTCTATAGATTTGAAGAGTGTGAAAGGTTTAGAAAGTACAAAGGTGGGTCTTTATTGGGTCCGAAAGCTCCATCGTTTGATCCAAAGAAGCCAAAGTTATTGATCGCAAAGTCAATCGAGATTGATCGTGTCGAGCAAGATAGAGACAAGGCCATTGAATCTGGAGTTACTGATGTGTCTGAATTTGAAACCAAAATTCAGAAGCTTAAAGCAGAGCTCAACGATATTTTTGGGAACCAAGAAGAAGAAACTAGTTCTTCCAACCAGGATGATGACTCTGGATTAAAGGCTTTCACAAAGGACTTGAAAACAAAATTCAAAGGTTTAGACGATGTATTTGTTTGGCATGCTCTTGCTGGTGCTTGGGGTGGTGTAAGGCCTGGCTCTACACATTTGAATTCCAAGATAATTCCCTGCAAGCTTTCTCCTGGCCTCGATGGCACGATGGAGGATCTTGCTGTCGTAAAGATCATTGAAGGTAGCATCGGACTCGTTCATCCCGACCAAGCTGACAATTTCTTTGATTCCATGCATTCCTATCTTTCTAAAGTTGGAATTACAGGTGTGAAAGTTGATGTGATACATGTAAGTATCTCTAAAACAAAATCTTTATTTTAATTTTTTCAACGTAGTGTCATGACTAACTAATATACTCTTTTGACGTACTGTTTGTTCAATTCAGACTCTAGAATATGTTTCGGAGGAATATGGAGGAAGAGTTGATCTTGCAAAGGCATATTATAAGGGTCTCACCAACTCTCTTGTTAAGAACTTCAAAGGGACGGGACTTTTCTCTAGTATGCAACAATGCAATGATTTCTTCTATCTTGGTACAAAGCAAAACTCCATAGGAAGAGTTGGTGAGAATTTCAAAATTTTACATTTCTCGGTTGTTCGGTCATTGGAATGTTACATAAGGGTCCGTCGAAAATTCACTCCAACAAATTTTTGTTGAATAGGTGATGATTTTTGGTTCCAAGATCCACTTGGTGATCCCATGGGTGTGTATTGGTTACAAGGTGTTCATATGATTCATTGTGCATACAACAGCATGTGGATGGGGCAGATCATACAACCTGATTGGGACATGTTCCAATCAGACCATCTATGTGCCAAATTCCATGCAGGATCAAGAGCCATTTGCGGAGGTCCTATATATGTGAGTGACTCAGTGGGCTGCCATGATTTTGATCTCTTGAAGCAACTTGTGTATCCCGATGGAACTATTCCAAGATGTCAATATTTTGCCCTCCCCACTAGAGATTGTCTCTTCAAGAATCCATTATTTGACAACAAAACTGTTCTCAAGATATGGAATCTTAACAAGGTACTTTCGAGTTCCATCTTTTACTAGTTAAAACGCTCAAGCAGGTATATCTTTTCCAAACATAGACATTTATTTCATCTTCTTGGTTGGAATTTAACTGCAGTATGGAGGCGTAATTGGGGCTTTCAACTGCCAAGGAGCCGGATGGGATCCTAAAGAGAAAAGAATCAGGGGGCGTCCAGAATGCTACAAGCCAATGTCTACAACAGTACATGTCAACGATGTGGAATGGGACCAAAAACCAGAAGCAGCTCCAATGGGAAATTTTGTCGAATATGTTGTGTACTTGAACCAAGCCAAGCAAATTTTCCACACGACTCAAAAATCTGAACCACTAGAATTGACCCTTCCACCATCTACATTCGAGCTCTTTAATTTTATACCCCTAAGAAAGCTAGGTTCCAACATCAAATTCGCTCCCATTGGTCTGACCAACATGTTCAACAGTTCTGGAACTATTCAACATCTAAAGTATAACGAAAAGAGTGTGGAATTAAAAGTGAAAGGAGTAGGAAATTTCTTAGCTTACTCAAGTGGGTCGCCGAAGAAGTGCCTTTCAAACGGAATGGAAGTCGAATTTGAATGGAATTCAGATGGAGAGCTGAGTTTTGAGCTTCCATGGATTGAAGAAGTTGGTGGAGTTTCAAATTTGGACATTTTCTTTTGAGAATTTTTACTACCGAACTTAAATTTGTATGCATTTTCTTGTGTTGTGTTAAATGTTATGTGTGCTCACCAGAGTTATTTCAATTAAATAAAGGCTTTTTATCATTATTGTATTTTTTTTTCTTCGTGTTCATAGTGTTTAACGTTATATTTAAAATTTTATGGATATTTTTCAAATATGTTATAGCCGTAACGATATAAGGATATTATTGAAACTATAGCATTTTAAAAGAAAAATAATGATAAAAAAAAAAAAAAATACAATAATGATAGAAACATTTATTTCATTGAAATGGCTATCCACATGACATTCAACACCACACTTCACTAAGATGACAATTTCTCAAAACAAAATATCCAAATTTGAAACTCCACCTGCTTCTTCAATCCAACAAAGATCAAAACTCAACTTTCCATCATAATCCCATTCAAATGCAACTTCCATTCCGTTCGAAACACACTTCTTTGGCGACCCACTCGAGTAAGCCAAGAAATTTCCTCCTCCTTTCACTTTTAGTTCCACATCGTTTTCGTTATATTTTAAATGTTGAATGGTTCCAGAACTGTTGAACATGTTCGTCAATCCAATGGGAGCAAATTTGATGTTGGAACCTAACTTTTCGAGCGGTATGAAATTGAAGAGCTCAAATGTAGATGGTTGAAGGGTCAGTTCTAGCGGTTCAGAATTTGGAGTCGTGTAGAGAATTTGCTTAGCTTGGTTCAAGTACACAACATATTCGACGAAATTCCCCATTGGGGCAGTTTCTGGTTTTTGGTCCCATTCCACATCGTTTACATGTACTGTTGTGGACATTGGCTTGTAGCATTCTGGATGTCCCTTAATTCTTCGTTCTTTACGATCCCAACCAGCTCCTTGGCAGTTGAAAGCTCCAATTACACCTCCATACTGTAATTAAATTTCAACCAAGAAGATGAAATAAATACTTTGGTGTTTTAATTACTAAAAGATGGACGAGAAAGTACCTTGTTAAGATTCCATATTTTGAGAACAGTTTTGTTGTCAAATAAAGGATTCTTGAAGAGGCAATCTCTAGTGGGGAGGGCAAAATGTTTGCATCTAGGAATTGTTCCATCAGGATAAACAAGTTTCTTTATGAGATCAAAGTCATGGCTACCCACGGAATCACTCACATATATAGGACCTCCACATACGGCTCTTGATCCTGCATGGAATTTTGCACATACATGGTCTGATTGAAACATGTCCCAATCAGGCTGTATGATCTGCCCCATCCACATGCTGTTGTATGCACAGTGGACCATATGAACACCTTGTAACCAAAACTCACCCATGGGATCACCATGTGGATCATGAAACCAAAAATCATCACCTACTCCACGAAAACATATGTTAGTACTCAAACTTTATGATAGAATTTCTGTTGTTATTAACAAGTTTTGATGCAAATGTTTATCATTTTTTTGTTTTGGCTAACTTTTCCTTCAATAATGACCCAGAGTTGAGAATCGTACTTGCTCTTCCTATGGAGTTTTGCTTTGTGCCAAGAAAGAAGAAATCGTTGCACTGTTGCATGCTGGAGATAAGGTTAGTCCCTTTGAAGTTCTTCATAATAGAATCGGTCAGACCCTTGTAATATGTCTTTGCAAGATCAACTCTTCCTCCATATTCCTCTGAGACGTATTCTAGAGTCTTCATTGAACAAACAGTATCACAAACAAGTTGATAGATTAGTTAAGTTAAATAAAGAACAAACGAAGTTTTTGTTATGGAGAAACTTACATGTATAACATCAACTTTCACTCCTGTAATCCCAGCTTTAGAAAGGTACGAATGCATTGAATCATATAGATCGTAGGCCTGATCAGGATGAACGAGTCCGATCTTACCTTCAATGACCTTTACAACTGCTAGGTCTGTCATTGTCCCGTCAAGTCCCGGAGAGGATTTGAGGGGAGTTATCTTGGATTTGAGATGGGTAGAACCCGGCCTTACACCGCCCCAAGCACCAGCAAGAGCATGCCAAACATATATATCATCCAAACCTTTGAATTTTGTCCTCAAATCCCTTGTGAAAGCCTTCATTCCCATGTCATCCCCGCCTTTGTAACAACAGTTTTCATTACGGTTGTTTTCTTCTTCATCTTGATCATTCCCAAAAATATCCATCAACTCTTGCTTCAATTTCTGAACTTTAGCTTCAAACTTAGATATGTCAGTGACTCCAGATTGAATGACATTATCTCTATCTTTCTCAGCATTATCAATCTCGATCGACTTTGAGATCAACAACTTTGGTTTCTTGGGATCAAATGGTGGAGCATTTGGACCCAGCATAGTCCCACCTTTGTACTTCCCGAACTTGTCACACTCTTCAAATTTGTAGAGTCTAGCAGTCATCTGATTTGCACCCAAAACAATGTGTTTCATATCTCGATGTGGGTCTTCGCCATCTGCATTGATACTCTGCCACCCATCGTCAATGATGAGAAACCTCAACGAGACTCCACCTTCAGTAAAATCATTCACACCATGCCAAACTCCCACGGGATTGACATTCAAGAAAAATGCATTCCAAGTACACCAACCAAATCTATCCACCAAATCTGGCACACTCTTCTCTTCTAAGAGCCTAAAAGTATTCAAATGGACTCTAATAGCAGCATAAGCTTCTTTCATTAAATTGTACGGGTTATCAGACACATGAATGTAAGCTATAGCATCAAAGCTTGATGCTTTCACATGAGTTGAGCCACTTTCCGCCCAAATCATGACATGCCCATCAGTCCCAGGATGAAGGGCAGATCTGAAACTCCCTTCTATAATAGGTATGATAACGACATATGACCTTATCTCAGGGACATTCAAAATGACCCATTGAGTTTCCATTTGAATATCCGATCCAGAACTCCCAACCCACATAGTTGACCACCATGTTTTGAACCGGAAGATGCTTACAAACTCTCTACTCTCGAACTTTCCAAGAGAATTGATCAACCTATCAGAAGGTTGACTTTGAGTTTGGTCAAAACCAAGAAATCCACCCTTATGAGACAGAGCACGGACTCGTTGGAGTAGAGGAAGTGGCACATCGGAGGATCGTACCGAAGAAAAAGGAGTGAAAAAGACGTTGCTTGGGACTTCTGATAGCAAGGGAACTCCTTTTACATCGATGTTCCCATTGGAAAGATGAACATAGTTGTCCAACCTCGTCATGAAGCTAGGTGCTTAAAAGACTTACAGACAACCTAGGTTAGAGATGGTTCTAAGTTCAAACAGAATCTAACCAATTTATAGTTGCAGAGAAGTAATATATATATATATATATTCTTTTTCTGGATAATGTATATATATATATATATTCTTTTTCTGGATAATGTTTTACACCTCACGATACCTTAAAGTTTTATTAAAATGTTTTTTTTAATAATAAACTAATGAGTTTAAATATAATAAACTAATTTTAATTTTAGTCCACTCATTTGTTCACACACAGAAAAAAAAAATACAAAAAAATACAAAAAAAAAAAAATACAAAAAAGTAATAAGAGAGGCACATAGACCAATATTTAAAATTTTGAATATAATATTTAAAATAATAAAATAATATTGAATAAATCTCATTTTAATTTTAATCCAAAGAAAGCTTATGAAATTCATTGAATACATAGAAGAATAGTTTGAACAAAACTTATTTTAATTTTAGTCCACACGCATGTTCATGTTCACACGTAACAAAAATAATTACAATTAAGAAATTAAAAGTTGAAAGAGATATGTTATGATTTTGTTTTATAAATATGTTTTATAATTTATTAAATAAGAATGTGAATATATATGTAAATTGCAACTTTTTCTTTTTAAAAAATTAAGGTTAATTAATATAATTCGACAAATTTAATTGTAAAATTGTTTTTTTTTTAAAAAAAATATATGTATAGCATATGATTTAGAAAAAAGTATAGTATTTATTTCAAAAATCAAATATATTATTCAAAAAATAAAATATTAATTTTAGTTCACACCGAAAAAGAAAAAACAAAGAAAAACAAAAATTAACAATTAAAAAATAAAAGTGAAAGATATGTTATGATATTGTTCAATATTAAATAATAATAATAATAATAATAATAATAAATAAAAAATGCAACATTATTGAAGGGGTGCAATTTAATGAAATGAAAAAAAAAATAAAAAATTGATATAATTTGATAAATTTAATTAAGTATTTATTTTAAAATTCTAATATAATGTAGAAAATAATAAAATAATAAGTTGGAACAATATTTTAATTTTAGTCCAACTCACTTGTTAAAAAAATATAATTAAATAACAAAAGTTAAATATTTGTTATGATTTTATTTAGTAAGTATGTTTTATAATTCTTTAAACTCATATAAGAATATTTTTTAAAGCGGTTTTTCAAATAAAAGTTTATTAAATAGTAAAATTGTAACATTTTTTAAAATTGAAGGTTATAATTTGATTTAATTAAAAATTTATGAAGAAATTGATATAATTAAACAAATTTAATTGTAAAATGCTTTATAAAAATTACATGTATTGCGTATATTATTTATTTGAAAAATCGAATATAATATTTAAAACAATAAAATAATAAACTCAAACACGTGGCTTATTTTAGTTTAATCCACGTTCTTATACAAAACAAATAAATAAAACTATCCATTTCCTGGAAAACGCGTTAGTAATAAAAAAATTACATTTTTTTTAAATTTCTTGTATAAGAAGTAGTTAGAAATATATATTATTATTATAAAATATTACGATTCAAATCAAGCTATAAATATAGATATCTGTTTAATATTTGGGATGGATCGAGACAAACCCTAATTTAAACGAGAATAGAGAAAGTGAGAAGAAAAATTTCACTCCGACAACTAAATAAGAATTTTCAGTCTGCTATCACTTTTCAATTCTCCCCACTTTTATAATATATTATATAAGTATCAGTATATAATATGAATAAATATATACTATGCATTCTATGATGCAATATTTAAGAATGAAAAATAGAATTGGGATGGAAAAGGTTGAATCCTTGTTGATATTCACAACTTTAAATACGATACAAGATACTAACTAATACCTACAAACAAATAAAATA